GGCATCATCTATTCGAGGATACACTCTGAAGCATGATGCGGGCAAGGAACATGCACCCTACCTTGGAGGACCATGTACTCCTTATCGGGCTGCAGTTTTGACGTGAGAAAGAGGTCTCTGTCATCGTAGCACTTTACGAACGCGCTTTTTAATGCGGGAAGCTGTACAATGTCATTTTGGCGCATACTGATTGTCTTTTATCAAAATGAAAAGCGAGCGACTTAGTTTCGTTGATTTCCGGACTCCCCTAGTTCCCACCACGTTATCTGAAGAGGCGAACGCTGTCCTGCCTTAATGACCCGAATTTTATCAACTTTTATTAAGAGCTGTTCTCAGGCTTTTTGAGGATCGCATGAGAAATAGGCAGGAGTTCATTTTTAAGCACATCTGTACAAAAACAGCCATCAGAACAGCCGGACTCGTTTACGTACGCAAAGTTCGTTGCCCATTCACACTGTTTCCACCTCACTGTTGCTTTAGAAGTAACCCGAGCAGGTACTTCCCGTAATTATGATTTTATTCTGAAGTGATTGTTTTTCTTGGTCAGAAGAGGTACGAATCATCCTCCGCTTCATCGCTCTCTCCATCACAGCGCGCGCTCTTCAGCTTTCGTCAGTGTCCGCATTTGGCATCCGTGCAACATTACTTTCTGCACAGTGATATTGTAGAGGTAGGCATAGTGGTTCCGGTTCGAAATTCTGTGATGTCCAAGATGCTGTAAAAAAACGCATTAACCGACGAGGGCATACATCCTATACACTTGTAGAGGATGTTTGTCGAAAATCCTCGAATGCTTCTAAAATATTTGGGTGGGAAGTAAGGGATTAACCTAAATGTCATGCGCAAGCAGACATTTTAGAATGCAGTCTGTCTTTCATCCCTTACCTTTAAACACAGTCCGAACGCATTACGCGCGTGCGAGTGGGAATCATCAGTACAACCTCCTACCCGCCAAACGTGTAATGAGCATGTGTCAGATCGCGTAGAACTAGAGAATTGAGAAGACGAAAAACGAAGAAAGATAGAAAGCGGCGGGGTAAGAGGACGGGGGTGTGATAACGGTGCCACTAAGTCGTCTTCAGGGAAGATTATTTGCTAAGAGTAGCAATGTCCCTCAAGCAGAACCTAGAAATCGGCCATCCTATTTTTGTGTTGTCGGACTCCCTATCCTATAATATCATTATTAACCGTTTCACCCAAAATCTGTCAACAAAAAAAGAGTGCTTATTCGGTGCACACCGTAGCAGTTGAGAAACCCCTCATCGATAACAGTATCTATATCGTTATCTGGAAATCCGCCCTGGTTCGGAGTGAAGGAATAGTTGAAGGTTTTGTTGTGTATGACAAATTATCAAATTTAATTTCGATTTCGAGGGAGCAAGATCTGCAGTGTAGAACGGAAGAGTTGCTTCGTTCACAAACGATACCAATGAAGTTGAGGTAGTTATTGACAAGAATGTCGTCAATAAATTAATAACAAAACAGATGAAAATGTACACACCTGTTCTCACGTAGGAAATGATATTCCATGATCGATAAACAGAGGTCGGCAGTGTTGGGGCTCGAATTGTCACCTGCAGGGAGGCATCCTGAATTTGTTTAAACATAAAGCCACTACTAATCTAACATAGACTTAGCCGAGAATGCTACGAAGCATCGCCGTAGCCTGTTTTTTACTGTAAAATGTGAAGTTATTTCTAAACCAAACGCGTGTTTTGCTATAAATTGCTTTTCATTGTTCAAGAAGCAAAACTTCATCTAAACGCAGTAGTTGCGGAAATGGATCTTAAAATATGCAGTGCAAGGTTGTGGACTTGTTAGTTGCAGCGATAAATCTGCACCTGTAGGATCGTTTACGTTGCTCAGGGATCACATAAAATGATAGGTGTAGAGCCAACATCCCGGACATATCTAGCTAGAAATCACTGAGGGTTCTACTGTATTCGGCAATAAGCTATGGCGCGGAAAGTGCTACTGGGGTGTATATATATTATTGCCTGGCATCTGACCGGTGGTAATGAGCCCGAGATCATTGCACTGTAATATAACGTGGGATTTTTTACACATTGTGGTGTGGTTATTGGGGGCCTTGTGGCGACAGGCGTAATAGCGTTTTCTCTATAGATCTTTTGCAGTGCCTGTCTTAGCCTCCTATATGTGCCAGGGGGAAAGCGGCAATCTGATACGCGCCACTGTAAAAAAAATATGGATTTATCCAGTGAGTTCGAGATATAATGATTTTTTAAAATCATTCAAATGGTTCCGCAAAATTATGCGATTGTTGTGAACTATTTATGGTAGTGCTTCGTAGGCGCAGTCTTCTTGTTTTGCCTTGCCGAAACGACGAGTGCTGTTTCTCTCGATTTTTTTCGGCTTCGCCAGCTTTTTTCATCTGTTTTCTCGTTACTTCAGCAGGCGGGCAGTCTGGGCTCGATTTCTTGCTTTGTTTCTTAGCTTGGTCCCGATCTGCCACTGCTGCTTTCAATTTGAGCTTTTCTTGTTCCATAACTCGATTTGGGCTTTACCGAAGCGATGTCTCGCTTGTGGGCATTTTCACAGTAATGAATTTTTCTAGTGGCACGCGAATCGATTATGAGCGCTGTGGTTTCCGAAGTACCAGCCGGTGGCGGTGATCAGCGAGTGGACCGTGGAGTGCACGTAAGGAAGGGCAAAGGATTGGCGATCTCGTCATTGGATGATGTGAAAACGGTGATCCGTCAATTGCTTTATGACCAGGATAACAAAACTGTTGATCGTACATTCGAGCAAATCGAAAAGAAAGTCCATATGAAGCGGGAACAGGTAATCTCGAGGATGGAGCTTTGCTGGAAAGTGCAGTCCTTTTCACTAACCCCTCGCTCGATGTTGTGCGCTCGCTAACAGTTCTCATCTTTTTTTCCACTTTCTACACTGTCAGTTTTGTGATGAAAAAGGCGCGTAGCAGGGATGGTCGGTTTCTCGGGGTCATGGTTTACTGAGTTTTGGTCACTCCATCCTCCTCCCACTGGTATTTGTTTCCTGTTCAAAATGCACAGCCCATCATGTTCGTGGACTGCCTCGTTGAGGGCCGTGCAAGCAACAGCCTGTTTCGGTGTTGTCGTTCGCAAAAGCGTAGCTTTCATCCGCTAACCTCACCGTAATGGCCCATTCCATACCACCCAAACAGTCGAAACTCAAAACATCTCTCTAATTCACCCCTCCTGACAAGCAAAGGCATTCGGGAAGTGGCCTTAATTTTAGCACGTACCAGCTACAGTCACCGCCAGCAACGATGACTTAGGGACCTCATTAAGAATTATTTAAAAGCAACCGGAGCTCTCAGACATGCTTCAGCCCCGTTTACTGGGATATCCCAAAACCTCACGAAGTATTTCTTACAAACCAGATAAATGCACTGGAAAAAATGTCAAATTAGTACCAATAAAAAAAAAAATATACAGTTATATTCTTATCAAAAACTCGCCCCCCTTAGATGAGGAAACCATAAAGAAAATCCACCAAAAGTAGCAAAAATAACACTCAGCCGCAAAGTATAATGAAAATTGAGTAACCACAGTCGTGGGAACATTGCTTTTTGCTCTGGTCGATTCGGACCTGGCAACTTGTGCTTTTCCTCTGCACGCCAAGTATATCTCAGTCACGTGTTTTCTAAAAACGAAGATGGTCTGTCTAAAAGGGGAGATTTTTATTACTTCCTTCGTAGCCTGGGATGAAGTGCTCCGTATAATTGTACCAGCCATGCAGCTACACTGTGGCAGTATCGAGGACTGGACTGTGGCGATCCTGTAGTATTCTTGCTTCTTGGTCTAGTAATATCCATCTGTCTGTGTTTGCATGCTTTTTTTTCGCTCCGTGGAATTGTCAGATTTGACGTAACGGCGTCTGTGTGTTCGTGCGCTTTGTATTTCGCAAATGTGTTTGTGCATTTTTTATTCGGCATATTACAAATTGCGCTCAGTGATCGTGGGGCGAATTGAGTGAATTTGTCGAATTTTTCTAGTCCTGAGATACCTTCCCCAGCTCCCACTCGCGCTCATCTCCTCCTCTCCCGCCTCCATTTGCAGGTGATACTTGAAGGTGATCGCATGCGTCGATGCTTTTGCCGTTTCTTCAGTTAACTTCATTTGTTTCTTTCTAAATTAAATATCCTTTCGAAATTCGAACTGATCTTGACAAAAACAGTTCTTTTTTTTTTCCCAGGGATTTGGACGTAGCCCCAAATGTCTTCTTGCGAGCATCCGCGTGTCCAGAGTGAATTTTCCCACCAGTGGCTGCGACACTTCTAAGCTGGCGACACAGCGGTCAGTCAGTGCCCAGCTGTAATGCGACTGAGGGCAGCCAACGTTGGCCGCAGCTGTACTGGGCCATTCTGTCCTAGACTACCTCACGTGCTTTTCCGCCACATCTGTTCGTCGTCTGTCTAACTAAATGCCTTCTGCCACTTAGGCGCTGGTGCATTAGTGCTGCACACCTGCCGGTTGTCAGCAAACTCACTCGGAGCCCGGAATAGTTTCTCTCAAATTTTTTGATATGTTTGCGGTAATATATGGCGTTGCCTGCTCCAACGATAGATTCAAAAATTACGAAACAATTCAGTAGCTTGCCATGTGCACTAAGGGCTAGCTGTTGAGCTTATTGTCGGAGGTGTTTACGGATAAGTAGCTGTCATGCGTTTGCCACCGGGAAGTTTCCATTGATGAAAACTCGATCGATTCAAGCGCCAACTTCGGCCTGCCTCCGTTGAAAATTATAGATGGTTGGTGGTTGAGGTCTGGATGTTCACGACGATTTCAGATTGCCTATGTTCTTTTCGCGCTTACTGGTCTGTACCTGATTTTTGGAGCATTTGCTCGATTGGCTTGCAATATGATTGGTTTCGCGTACCCGGCGTACGCTTCCGTCAAGGTATGTCCGGCTTATTTGCTTTATCTTAATTGCATGTGTCCGCTCAATACGATCATTGTTCAGTTTGGCGTAACTGCGGCTTGCCTGAGAATTTGTGGTTCCTTCTGGCAAATTTTTGCGTCCCTTTATTCGGTTTTTCGTACTCTTCTTGTCTGCCAGTTGTTGAATTCCGATTCTTTCATGAAGGACAAGGCAACACTTCTTAATACACTTTTCGTGCGAAATTCGATCTGTATTCGTTTATCGATTTTTCAAAGGATATTTTCGTTTTCTAGTTAAGCATCAAAATTGCTTCCCTTCAAGACTTTTATTGTTAATCTTACATTTGTTTTAAAAATGCTTTAGGCGGTCCGAACTGCTCAGAAAGACGACGACACACACTGGCTTATTTACTGGACTGTTTTTGCTGCTTTCTCGATAATCGACTTCTTTGCGGAATTCATTTTTAGCTACTTCCCTGTCTACTGGATTTGCAAGGTAAGAACACGTCCAAAAAGGAAAAAAAATATAGGCGGTCCCCTGGGCGGACAGTGAATCTAAGCATGAAGGTGGCAGGCAAAATCCAGAACAAGGAGTCGGGTGTGTAGTTGGGTTGGGTATATGAATGCATCGTATTAAAACATGAGTGACGGAAGCGACTGCAGTGAGAAGGAGAGCAGTTTAAAAGACTGACATCACTGGACTGCATTCTGGATGCTGTTGGCGAACTAATCAGTAGCTTGTGAACTGGTTTTGTTCTCTTATCTTAGTTCGAGAGGCGATTTGGGTTGATAGTTTTGTACTGTCAAACATTAAATTCTCATACAATCTTTTCTGTAAGTATATAGAAATGAGGGAAACATCGAAATGCTTGATTGTTGTCACTGAAAATTACTGCCAATCGTGCTACGGACGACTGCCTTAGCTTTATTTGAAAATGAGGTAAAAGTGAGGATATAGAGTTAGAGTTTCAGTAATGGTTCATGTTGTGCATTTCTGCTAAATTTTTTTATTTAGCTCTTTGAAAACAAAATTTTTTGTGCTTGTGTGTGTCCTACGTATTCTTTCGTTCCAGCTCTTTCCACCAAATTTCACCGCTTGTCTGTTCCTTCCTGGCCGGAGCGCATGTGCAGTGTCCTTTCAGAGTGACTTCAACTTTTTCCAGGCCATTTTCCTGCTGTACTTGTACCTGCCACAAACATATGGCGCATTAATTATGTACGATCGCTTTTTGGATCCTGCGATAACGGTTGTGGACGGATGGATGCAAAAATATGGGCTAGAAACGATCAAGGAAGACTGAGGCAAATTCGATTGCTAGCGACCGTACTGCTGCAATTCGAAAACAATCTTGGTCGGCCTCAGCCGCTCTTTGCGCTGCTACACTTCCTCGACGACACGTCTTTTTTTTCTGTTTCACTTCCAGTTCGTTTTATCTCGGTCTGATTTTTGCCAGTTTTAATTCGGCGAGCTGTTTTCACGTCATGCGTGACGGTGGCGAATTGTCCCTGTGGCTGTTTTATTTTTAACTTTGATTTGCAAACTCGCCAGATTTTTTGTGCAATTCATGTCGTACGCGATCGTGACGTGCGCGTGCTAGTCCACATTCCTGTCGTAGCAGCAGAATCGCCGTTTATTCCAGAAAGAGTGCGCTTTCTCAAATCGCCCTGAAGAATGTCTTGTTGCTCGAGTATTTCACAGTTGCTTACGTCACTGCTTAAATTTTAAAACGCTTGATTGTAACGCAAAATCCCCCTTGGCGAATTTTGTACCTTGAGTTGCGAGAGATTTGAGCACCACTTGACTAGCTTTTCGGGCTGGTTTATCACTTGAGGCTCAGATTGTTGGAAACTGTTTTCATGATAAAATATTGGTTTGCAGTTCGTTCGGGTGGATTTGAAGATTTGTAAGCAAAATGGTCAAGTTTTTTGTTTGTTTCGTTCGCTGTACCTGGACAGTGTCCTATGAGGTGGATTGGACAGCTGCTTTTTTTGGAAGCATTTCAGATCTGTTGTCTGCAAATTTTTTTATTAATTGAGAAGTATGCAGCAATTTTTGCAGTGTTACATGTAAAAAACACACTGAGTAACCGCAAGCGATTTTGAAAACTGTGAATCTTTTTCTCTGTGCTTTTCTCTTGGCTCTTCAGCATGATTGTCTGTGCTGCATCGGGAGACGGGGGAAGATAGGTACGTGTCGATTGTCCGGGTAATCCGGGGCTTATTTGTTCCGATTATTGGCTTATTTGCTCGTCCTGTATATTGACAGCTTTTTTTCTTGTTGTCGCTTTTTGTTTCGGTGATTGCTGGTTTCGGTTGATGGTCAAATAAACTGGACAGTTCTCTGTTTTTTTTTTTTTTTTAAATCACAGACGAAAGCATGCCCTGCAGCCAGTACATGTGCAAAAGGCAAATACTTTACATGCCAGGCAAAAAACCAGGGGAATGAAACAGCATACAAATATAAATGACATCACAACGACCGCGATCATCAGCCTGCAACGAGTTCATGCTTGAAATGAACAAGCAAACAGCACGGAGCCATTTTCGCAGTTAATCTTTTTGTTTACGTTTGTAGAGTTTTGGAGCTTAGAGGACAGTTGGCGTACACAACAAGAAGGTGAATTATGCGCTCTTGCAAAAAGCCGATAGCGTCCGATGAACAGGCAGGAGGCGATTGTACAACTTTTGATTATCTTTTGAGTTTTGCTGGCTCGCTTCCTGAGTTGTAAAGTGGCGTGGAGTGTGGTCAAAATTCACGATTAGCTGTGCCGAGAAGCCGAAACCTTTTTCAGATTTACTGATATTTGTTCTGCAAGTCCAGGCGCTATTGCAGTTTTAAACTTTAAGATCTGGCGCACATTGCCCGGCCCATTTCGTACTCAGAATAACAAGTTGGGATTGAGTGTGGGATTGAAGAAACAGTGGCACAGAACTTCGATACCAAGTAGTTCGTCTCGCATCGCGTAGCAAGAAAAACTCCTGGGGTTTGAAAATATTCGTAGTATTCTGTTTTCTCGATTCGTGAATGCCTTGAGACTAAGACTTGAAATTGTGCATCAAGAAAGGTGAGTATGATCCCATGTAACGATGGGGGGCTCACGCTAGCCTCGCGGTAATGCATCTGTGATTTGATGCAGAAACAGTTGGAGTGCAAAATGTGCTAAAATCATTTCTGGGTAGAAAGACTGCCCAACTGTAGCGGAAGGGCCAAATGGTCACGACTCAGCTTGCCTAAGAACAACTGGTCTGGCTAAATCTGTGTGTTTTGAGACAGCTTCGACTGAACGATTATAACTGCTTTGTAAGATTCTTTTGAGAAATGCTTGGAAAATGTAAATGAGTTTAAAAAAACTTAAGATTGTTTCAGAGAAACGTACAAGGCCCATGACTGGAATTCGATAGCTTCGTCAGCTGTGTCAGGCTGAGCTCGTTTAAGCGTCACATGTATCGCTTTTTTGAAGTGGAAAAAGTAATCCTTGATTTTGCCGTACAAATATTCACTGTATGTCCGAGACTTGTCAATTTCCGATTGCGTTTTATTGAACTGATTCTGAAAATTTTCTCGCCCAGCAGTCTGCCCTTTTGTTTCCCGCTTTGGAATTTCCTGAATTTTCCGAGGAGTAGTTGTAATAAGTAGTTCCAATAACTTTCAAGCCAGGCACAATGATTACAGGATTTCAGAATCTACCAAATGCAAATTCCCCATAGCACTCCAAAACTAACGAAATATTTTGAGATTACAACGAAAGGTTGATCAAAAGCGGCAATTTATGAAAAAAATGATTGCCAAAACACGGAAGATTTTTCAAGGAATGGTTAAGTAACGAGTAATCCTGATAACTCCCAAGCCAGGCAGAAGAAGCGCACTTTAGGCATGAGAACCGCGAAGGGCGGATTTCGGCTAGGAGCTGCCTTTCGGGAACTGACAATGCCATTAGATGATACGCAGACGAGAAAAATATCCAGGCCTCTTCCTGGGTTGTAGGCGAATAGCTGTGCAGAAAAACAACGTGCCACTCTAACCCAACTCCGCTTCCTTCCTCTTCCCTCTCACGCACTGAGTGCAGTATTGACCAATACTGGCGGATCCAGAACTGTGAGCGATGAGAGGCTAAGTGAAAATTCGTTCTAAGTGGAACAGTGCCTCTTCAACAAAACAATCTCCTTCGTAATTTCCCAGTCATTTTTTTTTTTCAAATCCTGTTCCGCTTTTTATGCGTTTTTGCCGTGCAGCGTTAGAGCGCTGCAACAGGCAGCAAAAACGCATACTGCAACGACCCTGTTAGTGTGTGTGTGTGTGTGCGTGTGTGCTTGTGTGTGTGTGTGTGTGTGTGTGTGTTCGTCTGTCCGGGTGTTTCAACTCGCCAATCACGCAAGCTTTGGTGTGTGTGTTCGTCTGTCCGGGTGTTTCAACTCGCCAACCACGCAAGCTTTCAG